CAGTGAATAGGCAGAGCTGGGGTTGGCGAGAAACACCTACTATTCAACAGATTCAGCCTGGAAAATGTCCCAGGCTGCCCCAGCTGCCATGAGTGACCATGGCCTCCCTGAGTATATGCAGGGTCTTGTGCTCATGTACACATGCCCCCTTTCTGGGTGTTAGCTCCTTTTAGGCTCAAAGAAGCCTATGAGCTAAGTCTCATTGGTTGCCTGCTTCACAGAAGAACATGTAACATGCACAGTCAGGTAACTGGCTCACATTCCCAAGTCATAACCCCAGGAGCCTGGATTCCGAGGCAATCTGCCTTCAGAGCCCCCACCCCTTAATCTCCACACGCCCTCATCTCTAGGGACCTGAGCACCCACTTCCTCCTGGAAGACTGTGGGAGAGCTGACCCAGTCCACAGGCGAACCCATACGCTGTTCCTTGGAAAAATTTCCCCCTTGGGGGAACTTCATGCTCCATGGGACAAGCAAGAGAAGTAGGTGGTCCATGGGGCTGGCCCTGAAAAATGGGTTCCACATTAGGAGCTGGGGGAAAGGAAGTTTTAAAGTAAGTATTTTGCTTCCTCTTGATCATCATGATATATGAAAACCTCTTCTTTGGCTTCTCATGAAACTTTTGAACCTGCCTTTCAGAACCCTGTGGCCTTGAAGAGACTTCATCAGTGTCTCTCCTTCTATGTAGTTGGAGTGGACCTCTTACCTGCTTAAACCCTACTTGTGTTTGAATTTCCCCCCTACATTCCTCCAGTGCCCTTCACTGTACCCCTGAAGAACTGTGTCACTTAATTCTTCTGTATGGTCTCTTTGCACCTGGATTTAGCCCTGTCATCATGCTGCTTGCATCTCACAACATGGTGTTCTCCTTAAGAGCAGGAAGGATATTATATGCCTTTCACACACTGGGTATCTCACAAAGATCCAAGACGTAAGAAACATTTTATTAATCAATTGGCTAAATTGATAATGGAGTGTGATGGTTAATTTTATATGTCAGCTAGGTCATAGGACACCCAAGTAACTGGTAAATCATTATTTCTGGGTCTATTAGAGTGTCTCTGAAAGAAATTAATATTTGAGTCAGTAGACTGAATGAAGAAGATCTGCCAATTCAATTCAAACCACTGTGGGCCTGGATACAACAAATTGGCTGGGGAAGAGCAAATCCATTCAGATTTACATCTTTCTTGCTATTGGACATCAGAGCTCTAGATTCTTGGGCCTTCAGACTCTGGAACTTAAACTAGCAACTCCCCAATCACAGCTCAGTTCTTTGGCCTTGGACTAAGAGTTTTAGTATTGGTTTCCCTTGTTCTCAGGCCTTCAAACTCAGATTAAATTACTCCACTGGCTTTCATGGTCCTTCAGCTTGTAAATGACGTGTGTGTGTGTGTGTGTGTGTGTGTGTGTGTGTGTGTGTGTGTTTGTTGTTATTTGTCTTAAAAATTTGGAATAATACTAAGAGTAAGAAAATGAATATATGAAATACTGACTTAATCAGTGAGTGCAAATGTTCATAGAAAGTCAACCTAGGTCTTCACAGACCAAAGGTAAGGTAGATCATTTTGATTGTAAAACCATCTATCCGCAGAGGTTTTCTATCTTTTAATAGAAATTACTTAGGATCCTCAAATAGTCAATCTATTATTTACTTATTCTTGCTTGACAAGGCTCCCTTAAATGTTTCCAAGGAAAATGATGTTCAAAACATTTCCCAGACAACTGATGAAGTTGTAACATAGTACATAAAATTTTATGATAAAGTTATTGGTTAACATGTTTCTAATATTTGATAACTCTTTTGCAAATAAAGGAGATTAAAGATTATTTTAGACTTTCTAGAAATAGTTTCTGTTTAAAAAAAAGACAGATACAATGTATTTTTTCTTTCAAAAACACTGAAAGTGTGTAATGGTCTTCATTCTTTGTAGGATATCCTTATTAATACAAAGTTTCCATGGCTATTTATAATGTATTTCTTTGATAAAAGGAAAATCTGATATGACTCTTTTTTGAAAGCAGTAGTTAGTACAATTTTTTAAATATTTCCATTACAAAAAAAAAAAAGAGTCCATATTGCTAATGCCTATAGATGGGCTTTGATCTATGTTTGACTCAGTAGTAAGGTAACTAACGTTCTGGCTGCTTTTGTTGATTTTCTGGAAATGATAATTCTCCTACCACCCTCAGTGTGATCTCTCTGGGCTTGCTATAATATAGACACCAGCCTGATCTGCAGAACTAAAAAATTAATACTGACAACATTGTCATTATAGATGATGGTGAGATAATGGTGTGAATTTTTGAACCCAGCTCTAAGGAATGAACATCAAAGGTTTATGTGGGTTAGTTAGTCTCAACAAAAAGAAACAGGCCCTACTGACCCCATCCAACTTGTTCCCCTTTCCTTAACTGAATCATATGTTCATAAGAACACTACCAAGGGAACTAAGAGAAGCAAGCCTGCTATGGGTTAAGCATGGCGTGCTCCCACCAAGATTCATGTGGAGGCTTAATTCCTCAATGTGCCAATGTCAGAGACTTTAAAAGATAATTAGGTCATGAAGGATCCATGTTCCTGAATGGATTAATGCTGTCTTTAAGGAGTTGTGGCTCTCCTGGGATGTGATCAGTATCCCCAAGAGTTGGTTGATAAATGCTAGCCTACTATCTCCCCTGAATATCTCTTCTTCACTAGCCTGTTCATGGTATTCCACCATGTGATACTATCCTAAATGTTGTGACACAGCTTGGTACCATGCTGTTTGGACTTTCTAGCCACAGAATCATTAGCTGAATAAAACTCTTTTCTTTGTTTATAACCCAACATCCGGTATTCTATTATAGCAACAACAACAAAAAAAATGGACTAAAGCAACACGAACCAGGCAAATTTATTCCAGTAATTTCTTCTTAGTAATAATGAAAATAGTCATAAACATTCTAGTAAAGTTTAATATCAGTGAGGAAAAACTATTCAGCAATGACTCGTTCTCATTAGACATTGTTAAATAGACAATAAGTTATCCTAAAATGAGTTGAATCAAAAATTTAGTTATTATTCTCATTGTACTTAAGGTACTTAATTTATCTTTAAGAGCAGTTTAATCTATATCCTATTAATTGTAATATATAATTTTTCAAGTTTTATTGAATTTTGTGCCTGTTCTAATAATTCATATCTAATAATTCATAACAAGTTTGGAGACTTATTGAAATATTTGTAGCCACTAATGATGACTATGTGTAAATGTTTCATGACATGAAGTCTCTTTCAAGAATTAGTTTTCTTGCCAGATACAGTGATGCACATCTGTAATTCCAGTGCCTTGGGAGGCTGAGGCAGGAGGATCATAAGTTCAAAGCCAGCCTCAGCAAGTTAGTGAGGCCCTAAGCAACTTAGCAAGATCTTGTCTCAAACTAAAAAATGAAAATAAATAAATAAATAAAAATTAAAAAAAAGAAAGGCTGGGGAATGTAACTCATTGGCTAAGCCCCTGGGTTTAATCCCTGTTTAAAAAACAAAAATTACTTTTCTTTTTTACATCGCTTCTTGACCACAGTAACAATGATTACGTTTTACCTTTACTTACTTTTTCTTTTTTAGCTTTCCTAAGACATCACCATTTATTTTATGGAATATTTTTTCTATTTTTGAATTCTTTTTGTTATAATTTATTTTTAGTGAGCAGGAAATTTTCAGATAAATATTCGGGATTGGCATGTGTGTAACAATTCATCACCAAACTCAAGGTCTTCTGAATCTTTTCCTGTGTTATCTTCTAGGAGTTTTGAAGTTTTGCATTTTATGCTTAGGCCTGATGTGTTTTGAGCTAATTTTCATGAAAGGTGTAAAGTCTGTGTCTAGAGCCATTTTTTCCTCTTTTCTCCTTCCTTTTTTAACATGTGGATGACCAGTTATTGTGTTTTCTAGTAATTTCCATCAAGTTCCAGTCTCTCAGTTCTAGAAGAACTTACTCAATTTTTCCCTGTAAGTTGCTGATTTGCTTTCCTGTACTATCCAGACTTCTGTTCTACTAAACTTTTTATTGTTTTTAATTCACTAATTGCTGTATACCCGATTCCCTCTGCCCCCCAGGTTGCTTTTGATGAATAAACAATGACCTCTTCAATTTTCTTTGAAAATATGAACCAAAGATTTTTAGCTGAAATATGTAAAAATAAATTATGGGAATATACATTCTATTCAGAGCATCTATTTATACTTGTTATCCCATCAGATTTATTGATAGCTAAATACAGAATATTTAATGCTCAAAAGCGTTCTGATCTGGACAATAAATTAAATGGTCATTCTTCGTAAGCTTATTTTTATAAGATTCACTTAGGCCTGGTTTTCCTGTTTTCCTTTGAGATTTGTCTTTCTTTTTCCCTCCCTCCATCCCTCCCTCCCTCCCTCCCTCCCTTCCTTCCTTCCTTCCTTCCATCCATCCTTTCTGTCTTTCTTTTCTATTCAGCATTAGGGATTGAACTCAGGGTATTCTAACACTGCACTATAGCCCCAGCCTTTTTATGTTTTTTGTTTTGTTTTGTTTTGTTTTGTTTTGTTTTGTTTTGTTTTGTTTTAGTTTGGGGCAGGGTCCTGCTATATTTCCCAGGCTGGCCTCAAACTTGTGATTC